AGTGAACAAGGATTTCTCCATGTTGACTGGGTTGGAACTGCAGATCCCCACTGCTCTAACATCACGATTCCACTCTCATTCTGTAGCATCTAATCTCTGGTAAGCCTTGGGCAGTCTCACTCAGTGAACATGTAGCCTAGTCCTCAGCCAGGAATCATGACGTCTGGCCTCTAACTTCTCCGTAGTATGCTGTTTGTATATGAATTACTTCCCTGATTTACACAGGACATTTACGACTGCAGAATCAGGGGACCTCAGGAGGTCATCTGGCCAAAGTACACAATTTTTAAATCGATGAGGGATCTTAGAGATTGAGGAAACTCTTTCAAATCTGAGTGAGAAAACTGCAAACCTGAAAAGTTAAGTGATTTCTCCAGGTACAAATACAAAAGTACAAATTGGATTTTCAGTTGTAAATATCACGCTTTGCAAGCATTCAGCTTTACCAACGTAAACGTGTTTTTTTTAAAAATCCATTTGATCCTTACAACAACTTCATGAGATGGGTCTAAGTATTATTATGCCTGTTTCATGGGTAAGCAAACTGGCTCAAAATGTAAGCACATCCTTTGCTACACAGAGCATCTAATACTCTTTCATTCAGTAACTTCTGAAAGAAAAGCTGATGATTAAATGGATACGTTACTATCTTTGACATCCATAGCTTGAGGGGAGTTTTACCTGTTTGCAGAGTGAGTAGCTACCTATAGGGTACACTCTGGAGGACAATGAAAAAGATGGTCCTGAAAGGAAAATTTAAAAACAAACAAACAAAAAAACATCAAAAATCCAAACAAACCCAAAAACACCTGCCATACTGGTAAATTATATAACAGATTTTCTTCAAATGGTTATTGCAATTAGGTTAAGGCATCAGGTTACCTACCTGCAATAATTAACCTTTTAAATGATTCATTTATATTTAACAAAAGGGATCAGGGTTGATCCTATACCTCCAGCAGAGAAAAAAAGAAAAGATGAGGAAAAAGTAGGACAACAATCTCACTTCCTTCCTCTTGTGAGGAGTAGATGACGGACAGTCTTAATTTCATCCCTACACAGGTAAGCGCATTTTTACATGTGAACCATATATTGATAGAGAGAGAGAAAGAATTTTGAAAGTTGAAAACAAGAGGGACTTTGGGGGCCTTTACCTGAAAAGTTTAGTTCTTTATTTGCTAGACCTTATTCCAGCCACTTGAGGCTTTTAACATAAAAATATGATTAGAAAGCATGGATTTCTTTTTTTAAACGTGGTTTCTTCTATTTGGAAGTTATTTAAAAATAAGTTTAAAATTTAAAGAAGGAGAAAGTCAAAGAACATTTAGGGTTGTTTGTAATTTATTCCAATTCAGGTCACAAGAAAGTAAATAAATTTCTATAGGGTGTGCCGTATAAGAGCACTGAATATCAGGGCAGAAAAAAAGGGGAGCAGAATGAGACAGTTAAGCAAAACTGAGGAGGAGTCCCAAGGGATAGTTGATTGTAGATATAAACTTTGCTTTATAATTTTAACTAGTCCCAGACCCACCAATGCTATTTGTTTATAGCTAAACTGTACACCATATTTTGTTTTCTTTTCCAAGTGTAAAATAATTTTATATTAATTTATGTGGGTTTCCTACATAACATTCAACCTCAGTATTCCAGCCCATTGTGAAAAATGCTTCCAAGTCCACTAAAAGTCTTTTATCATACGTGTACAGACTTTTAAAAAAATGGCTTTTGGTGGAAGTATAAATAAATACGACTTTGTGAAGAGTAAACACACTCTTACGCAACTCAGAATGCATTTTCATTTTTATTTTCCCCCCTAAATTGTTACTAGGATATAATTTGAATAACTATATACAATTTCGTGGTTAATTTGGAACACTATGTCATAAATCCCTAATGAGTTTTTTTTTTTAATGTCAGCAACCCCATAATTTTTTTTTTTTTTTGAGACAGAGTTTCACTCTTGTCGCCCAGGCTGGAGTAGAGTGGCGCGATCTCGGCTCACTGCGACCTCTGCCTCCTGGGTTCAAGTGATTCTCCTGCCTTAGCCTCCTGAGTAGCTGGGATTACAGTGTGTGCCAGCACACCTGGCTAATTTTTGTACTTTTCGTACGTGTTGGCCAGGCTGGTCTCAAACTCCTGACCTTGTGATCCACTGGCCTCGGCCTCCCCAATTGCTGGGATTGCAGGTGAGAGTCACCGCATCCAGCCAATTTTTTATATTTTTAGTAGAGACGGGGTTTCGCCATGTCGGCCAGGCTGGTCTTAAACTCCTGACCTCAGGTGATCCACCCGCCTTGGCCTCCCAAAGTGCTGGGATTACTGGTGTGAGCCACCACGCCCGGCCTGTTAACAGCTCTCTTAATTGCAATTGTTCTCTACTTTTCTCTCCTGTCAATAATTTTTAAAATGTCAGAATTTAGTACTGGACTCCTCTTAGGTACATATGAAAATTTATCCTCCGTTTGTGGGAGACCTTTTTTCGGCCAGAAAGCATCTCATGAGTATATAATTTAACACAGAGATAGTTGGATTTTTCTGCCAGCTTTACTTGTTTCCAGAGAAGACCAGTCTTCCAAACATGTCTGTCTAGTCAGTTCAGGAGATTCTAATATTTTTCATTTTTCACCTGTGTTGACATCAACTTTTAAATCATATTTATTTATTTTTTAAGCTCCCAATGAGTATAGTGATTTGTTTAACTTCTACTCGTTGGTTTCATTCTTTGAACGACTTACAACTAACTGCCCGCATACAGGAGGCTACCTATTGAATAGCTCTAAACTCTCAATGAAACCAAAGAGCTCTGCCGCCCCTTCCCTGAACAAACCAGTTGTCAGGGCAGTCAAATTCACAGCTTAATAAAAATTCTATCAAAAATAAAAAATGGATCTTGTAAAATTTATTCTGAATGCTGATGTAGGGTGGGACTGCAGGAGGAGTCTGAATGTAGGGCAGTGTCGAATGAACTAGCTCATCTAGAATTCTTAATAGTGAACCTCATGACCTCAACTGATACTTAAAATTTATTACAGTTATTACAGTTGTTATTTTATTATTTTTCCCCTGCTTCCTTTTATCCTTTCTTTCTTAAGGGAAAAAGGCTAACATAAAAGTGGAATAAAAAAGTAATGGTTAACAAAACCACAGCATAAGGAAGAGAAGAACCATTGTGGGATCTGCCAATAAAAATGTTCCTTCTCTTCAGGGCTGGCTAACCAACGCAAATGTTTCTAATGCACCACTGGCAGGCTACCAAGTGAACCGTTTTACGTCTCCCCAAACTTACGGTCACCATTTATCTGTAACAGACGCTCAAAAACTACAATAATATATGCTAGGAATGGAGAACAGCTATTAATTCATTTCTCTTGGCTTGATGAGGTCAGGATTATTCCAGAAAACAAGGCTATTCTAGTGCTTTGCTGAAGAATTTTCTATACAAATGGGCCAACTACTTTTCCTCAGGGAAGACTATTTCTTATTCTAGATCCAGAGTCACACATATGCATGTTTCAGCCTCCCTGCACATTTCATTCCCCTCATATTTCCGCCTCTCAAGCTCTCTAGGTAGACTGTTTTTACTTGTTCAATCAATGATCAATAATTGAATAATTTAAACCTTTAAAATATGGTGGGTCCTGCAATGACTACAGAGTGAAGAATCTAGTGTCACTGCCAACAGTCACAGGGATAACTTCCCTTTCTCCACTTAAATTTGCAAGCTTTTTTCTCATGATGCTACTTGGAACCCTAACCTCTCTTAATTCGCCCCATATGCCAATCCACTTCTGGCTTCACTTATGCATTATTTCCAAGACATATCACCTGTAATGTTTTTCTAAAAGGATAGAATCTCAGCCTTGCACTATAGCCCAGGAACGTGAAAGCACAGAGGACACCTCAACATTCTTGGGTTGCAGTCACAATATCGCAATCATCATGTCCCATGAGAATTCATGCTAAGGTATCATGGTAAGATTCTGTACAGCTCTATTATTCAGGTATTCAAAGTTTACTGATATTTCAAAGTAGCAGAAAAGTAATCTGATGTCAGTTTAAAGCACTAGTTGGAGTGAAAAAATTTTATTTTAGGCCAAAGACAGACTGTGCATTTACACAGAGAAGAAGTGAGCAAGGATTATGTGAGAGAGAACTGACAGCGAAAGGCTGCTGAGGTGGGGACTTAAAATCTGTGACAGAAATAAGAATCTGGCCTTATGAAGGAGAAGAAAACCTATCCTCTGAGACAGAAAAGAAGACAACAAAAATAAGGTAACTGCTGACATAACGAAGGTAACTGAGGGATCCCACGGTAGACCTGGTTTCAGTAAAATAATAGTAGGGCCTTTAGGTAAGGGGAAGGCAAAAAGACATGTTTGTTTTAAACAGAAGGTTACTGAGAAGAAAAAGAAACATCTACTATGTATTAGCAGATGTATACATGCTTCAGAACAGATTATAGTCTCAGCAACCTACAAAATGTGGGGGAAGCAGGAAAATGCTGTATAGCAAAGTTTTGCTAAAAGTGACAATTTTCTAAAAGTTGGTTTCCAGTGTGGCAAAATGTTAACTATTGAATCTTGGAGACAGGTATATGGGGGTTCATTCTCTCTACTTGTGTGTACCTTTGGAAATGTTTACAACAAAAAATGTGTTTAAAAACTGCCTCGTCTTCCTACGACCTCAGAACCAACAGCCCTCTTCCCGGTAAGCTCACCATTTTGCCTGAACTTTCCAGAAGATTTTAGGAATCTCAGAGAGTTAACTACACACAGATACGTATATGCCAGAGGATTTAAAATTCATTAGAGGAACCAAAAATACTTCTATTTGATCAGGATTTGTTCCACCTTTGACCAAATTTATTCTAGAGAGTGAGAACTACAAGTTAGCATTAAAATTAGGTAAGTGTACTGGGGAATCAACAGAGCCAGACGAAGACAGGGAGAAACAGCATTTCCACCGAGCAAATGCTTGAAGAGTAAGATGCAAACACTTACTTCATCTCCAGAACTTCCTCTAAGTGCTTCCTTCTCTCCGCCCGGAGATTAGTCAAGTGAGTCTCCTTTTCTGCCAGAGACTGTTGGGTGGAGGACAGCTTTGCTTTCATGGACTCTAGTTCCTGCTTTACTTTCTCCATGGCCATCAGTAACTCCTCCACCTATCACGAATATGGGAAGGAGAAAAACAGAACATCTCGATCAATTAAAGTCAGAGGACCTGGGTAACAGGCAACTCCTGGGTCCAGAAAATTGAAGAGACACGGGAACACATTAAAAATTCTGTACTCTTTCTGGATCAGATAAGTGTATGTATATATCAAGAATCAATATAGCAGATAATAACATCCCTACAGTATAATAATTATATAGTATATAATTATACTATATAAGTTTCGGTCAGAAATAACTTAATACATGCAAGGGTGTCGAGTCATCAGTTAACAAGCCGCACGCTGCCACCGACAATACCTTTTAAGGAAGTTCTCTGGAAATGACCCAGAAATTTCCATGGAAATAATATAATACAAATATAAATATAAAAAAACAAAATAATATACAGAATGATTTTAGGAAATAAAATACATAAACTTGGCTAATGTTAATAACAGATTTCCTGTATACATAGATGAATAATTTTTAGTCCTCTAAACTAAAATTTTCCTATTTACATCATTAAGAAGAATTTCTTTTTAAAGAAACTGCTAGAATTCAATCAGACAATTTCTTGCTCTAAATCCAGGTAGGTAGGGTTTCTTTTTTAAGGAAGGCAGGAAGGAAATATATACCTATATACCTATATAGATGTGTGTGTGTGTGTGT